TCTTTTGAATAGGATTCATCTTTTTTTGGTCATTAGGATTTTTTTATCCCTTATTTTTTTTTATCTTATTTGATCATTTAACATTGTTTTGATTTGTAATTAATCTTGGTAATTTATTATTTATTATTTATTATTTATAATTTATTTTTATTTATTTTTTAAAGAGTTATCTCGACTTAATAATTCGAGTTGCAGGTTGACATGCTATCTTAAATTGACACGGGTTATTTTTTTATTTTTTTCAATTTTATTATTTAGTGTTGGATTGTTTCAGAATTGATCTTTACAATTATTTTCCCTTTAGGCAAGCATTTTGGATTGTTTCAGAATTGATCTTTACAATTGTTTTCCCTTTAGGCAAGCATTTTTTTTGTACAAGTCATCATCATTTTTTTTTAAATTAGTCCATTTATTATTATTGATTTTTATTTATTTATTATATAATAAAATAAAAACAATTTATTAGACCAAGTCGGCTGGCTATATGACCTGAATCATAAATTTATTTTTACTTTTCTAAAATATATTTATAATACCTGAATATTTTTTTAATATTTCAATAAATTTCAATTTAATCTTTGACGAATTGCATGCCAGTTATAGTTATAAACTAAAAAAATACAACCTTATGCTATTTGTTTTTTACTTTGGTTATATACCAAGGCATATTATGGACTATTATAGTGCATCCGGCTCCTCCCTCCCTTTTATTATTGAAAAATGATATGATTTGGGAAATGAATTTTATTTTATCCTTTCATAGTATATTCAAATGATTTAAATTTAAATAATTTCTTTTGGTTTGTGTTATACATTGTATTTGTAGTACTTGTGGTATTAAAAAATATCTCAACATTAAATGATGTTTGATCTTATAGGTTAAAAAAAAAAAAGTTTAATACCTAAACAAAGAAGATATCTTTATATTGTTTCTTTTAGTCCTGCTAATTACAATGTGTCTAGTTTGTTCTTTTTTTTCAATGAAAAATGAATTGTTTTGGACACCTTTTTGATACATGGTATTTGTAAAATTTGAAAAATGTAGTACTTGTGGTATTAAAAAATATCTCAGCATTAAATGATGTTTGCACTTGTAGAATAGAGATTAATTTTATTGATTTAGAAATTTGAAACAATAGGAAACAAGTTTAACACATAAACAAAGAGGCAACTTGTATTGTTTATTTATTTATTTAGTTTTGATCCCTTTTTGAGGATTTTATATTTCAGTCATAAACTTAGTTTTATATATCCCTAACTGAAGAAACCTATTTTAAATTGATAAGTGCTTTCATAAGGTCATCATTGGTCAATGCCTAAAATTTAATATGCAATGGATCCTCTCTATCGAACCCTAGAAAATCCAAGTTAATTGAATCTAGTTGTTCCTAGGTGGTTCGACTTTGTGTTGATAAAGTCCATTGATCAAAGTTAAAGGGGTAGTAGAAGGAAATTCTATAGGTTTTTTTTTTATTTTTAATAAATTATTGTGCCTTGACTATCATATGTTCTAATTGTTGAGCTAGTTATTCTAAAATTCATTTTTGTTTCATATTGTCAACTATTTCCAACTATTTTCAGTGATTGCGACATTCATTTACCATTGCTCATCTAACTCTAACATCTATTTGTAACAAACTCAGAAATTAAAACTAGAAATAAAAAATTTTATTGATCATGAAAAGAATGAATTACAAGAATAATAGAGGTTTAATTGAAAATAATAATAATTTAAGCATGTTTAAGAAAGCTCACACCTCGTAAAACTCGACCAATTCAATCAAAGAACCCTTTTATACTAATAACCTATACTAATAACCAGCAATTTAAATTTTGAAATAAATTTGAAAAGTTCTAGATTAAATTTATTTTAATACTTATTTTTGAATTTAAATTTAAAAATAATTATGCCATATATTAAACTTCATGGACTAATAAAAATTGACTATCCACCTCACTGAGTCTTTGATCCATGATCAAAATCACCCCCCATGTCCATTATAGCATTGATATCATATGCGAACACACTATTTCCCCAAGTCCAGGCCTCTTTTTCTATAAATGTATTTTTAGGGTTGGAAAAAAAACACATCTACCTACATGTATGTCTCTCATTCTATACAGTGTAGAGATATATTCTAGCACCGAGAGAAAAGAGAGAACATGAAATAGAAATATCCTACCTTTGATCAAAAGCCTTTATATATTAATTAATTAGTGTTTGTTGTCAATAAGTAAAGGGTGAATTAGGCTGTTGATTTTGTATTTTCTAAAAAAATAAGAAAAACTAGATATATATATATATATATATATATATAAAAGCGTGGATCCTTTTAGGTATTTTGAAAATGTTAATTCCGTAACTATGCCAAATGGTTATGAAGGGAGCAATTTGTAAATAAATTTCATCATTTTTAAAAAATAGCTTTCGAGGGACCAAAAACATCTTTAAAGGGAAAGTTTGATCAATGATTTTTGTTTTTTTTTTTCCTTCAAATATGGGCAGGTGAAGCTACTCTACCACATACAAACATACCACCTCTTTTAAGTATTAGCCTATTTTTTATTGGTTCTTTTAGGGTTAGAAAAGCTCAACCTTCCATGTTTTGGAGTGCTTAACTATCAGCTTTTTACTTTCTTTTATATATATATATATATATATGAGATAAAATTCTCTTTAAATAAAATTATTAAAATGACTATGCCACAATTTTCAAATAAAATTAGAGAATTTTATTGTAATATCAACAATTACTTGATGAATGATTGTACATGAACCTAATATTCAAATTGTTTTTTAATTGCTCATGAATATGCAATGAGAATAATATATATATTTTATCAATTTTCATTGTAAATTTTTTATATATTTTTTTCAAATTAATTATTCTTTTATCTTTTTCATGCAGTCACATTAGAATTATAAAGAAATTTTTTAATTGAAACTTGCTTTTCACTTTGTGATAATTCTTTATTTAAAAATCATGCTTCTAATAAAAAAGATATATTTTTATAAAAAAAGAACATGAATATGGAATGATAATTTTTTTCCCTAATTTAATCATTGGGATTCTTCTAAATATTTATTTTCACTGTCTTAAGTTTTTATTCTAAATATCATGTTATTGATAAAAAAACATTTTGCCTAAAAAAACATAAATGTGTTAATAAGAAGATAAGTTTTATAGTATTTAAATAGTAATTAGTGACATTCTATTAGATATTTTATATTTGATTTACTTTTTTTTTTTAAAAAAAAACAAACAACAAAGCCTATGTAGTTTTAAGGGTGATAACAAACATCTACAAGTTGAATTTCTTGATATTCATACTTTATTCATTAGTCATCAAATAATAAGTTTAAATATTTATAAATTATCAATTAGATTTCAGGTATCTATATGAGTATTCATTATATGACTATTATTTATGATTCAATAAAAAATAAAATATAGTTAATACATACATGATAAAGTGATATATATATATATATATATATTAGTGTTTTATATCAAATTTAAAAATATATGTATATATCATATTATATTAAGAAAAATCTAAATATTCTATAAATATATTAATATAATATAAATTATATATTTTAGGTTAAGTTTTGAGTGGGTTTGGAATAAAGTTTGACAATATCTATTTAAAAAATACATATCTATTTAGGTCCGCCGGTTTATCTTTCAACTGATTAAATTATTATCTTTATGTAGAGTTATTTTATTTCTTCTTATGCTGTATTTTTTCTTAAAGTGGGCTATAATTAAATAATAATTAATATAATGTCACTGACTAATCTTTGTAAACTACAAGTTTTTTTAAGTAAAAAAAGGGATTTTACTGAAAAAAATATTTATTTTAATTATAAGAAAAAAAAAGAGAGAGAGTGCAGGAACTGGATAGTTATATAGCACTTGTTATAATAAAAAGCAAATACATAATGCGAAATATAAGAGAACAAAACGACGGTAGGACTAGTTGCCGACAAAGCGGTATCACACAATTTATACTTGAAATATGAGAGCATCCCCAACTGTGTAGAAAAGAGGTGCGTATCTAGTCTTATTTATCTATATATCACGACAGAGATTTTCTTCGACGGTCTTCCATTTTAATCATCTGAAGGTCCTTTTTCTTCCATTATACCAACAATATATACACACACACACAAACATCAGTAATTATTTGCTAGTATTAATTACTATATTAAAATGAAGGGGGTGGATTAAAGTGTGTTTATAAGTGTAGTAACAGTATTTTTTAAAAAATATATCAAAATAATTTTTTTATTTTAATACATAATTATTTTGAAGAAAAAAACAGATAAAATGCTTTTATTCTTTTAAAAACATTTTTAAAACATAAAAATAAATATACCCTAACTGGCCACCTCATGCATAAATTATTAACTTTCTTCAGTGAGAATTACATTTTCTATTTAAACACCAATAACATTAATTGAACATAGAAGTAGTGGAAGGATATCGACGTTCCATATATTAAAAAAGAATATATAAAGAGCTTTTTCACCATAAATTAACTTTCCTGTGAAGTAATTAATCAATGAATTACTTTAAAGACATCACATCAGTTCATTTAAGGTTTATTTAGTAGGGAGGGGGGGAAGAATTTGGAACAAAGCAATGGTCAGAAGAAAGCAACAAGCAACAAAGAAAGATTGAAAATTGGAAGGAAGGAAGGAGACACCCTGCCTTCCTCTCTTGACTATTTTCAAACCCTCTCCCATGGGTGGACTTTGACCATTACTTTTCAATCCCTGCCTGCATTATACAATATTTTTCTATGTCCTAAGCTACTAGTCCTCATACTTTTCAAATTCTTGCACACCAGACAACAACCTAGCTCCTCTCTAGTTGCTTGCGTTATTCTTTTCCTTTCCTCCTTGCTGTTCATACATGACCAATTGGTGGTCCCTTATAATCCCTAACACTACTACTTTTCAAAGCTCCTGCTCTCTCTCTTCCTGATCCAGCCCCAGCTAGCAAGCTCAGTTTGCTTATTTTTCAACTCTCAGTGCCTTCGTTCTCTTCCCTCCTTAAATAGTTTGCTTACTTCTCAACCATGATCACCCGTCGATCCATGGAGATCAAATCAAGAGGGAATTTTCAAATAACATAGTAGGAGAACATAGGATAGAGTCCCAAGTTAAGGGATCTCTCCACTATGCATCAACATTATTATTCTTAGCCCTAGTTCCTGGACCTCATGATGGACGCCGTCTTCCTGCTCAGTGAAGTAGAGCGTGACAACTTTCTCCGATATTTCATGCAGTGTTTTGGCAGCACTTACATCTGTCTTTGGTCTTATTTACCTCAACCATCTAAGTATGTCTTGCAATACTAGCTATCCCTCTCTCATAATCATAACAGATTTATTGTTAGTGTTCATTCATAATTATATATATAATTTTAAGTTACATTAATGATTAATATTGTTTATGTTCAGCTATTTACTCTTCTGGGATGGATATTACCATGAGGAAAGCAATCAGCCCAGCTCTTCTTCAGGGAGTGTTGCCAGGATGCTTTTCGATCAGTATCGACAGGGACGATTCTTTGCTGTAAACGAGTATGAAACGCATGTTCAACTATAGTATTTACCTATATTTTCTTCTCTTTAATTAGATGTGCTACTGATATGTATGTATGTATGTAAGTATCTGTTGTTAATGCTCTCTTTTTTTATGTGCTGGATACTATGTATATCAGCCGTGTTCCCGGAGTTGCATTCAAGAACAAAATTCCCTGCATAGAACTAAAGGAATTTGAGCTTCAAAGATCGGCGTCTGCGGATGCACAGAGGCGATTTTATCAGGTAATCATTTTAACAAGAAGAAAAAGACTTCATCCTGTTGATCTATCAATCAACTCAATATGGTTCACCATTGATATATCCCTTTGTGTCTTATCTTGTCACAGGAAGCAAGGATTAAGGTCTGCTTACTTTCTTCTCTCCAGGATAATTAATCAAGATGTTTCATTTCCTTTACAGCCATGTGATCATGAGTAATGTTTTCACATTTTCTTCTTATGTCATTTTAGACTGCAGTCTTCATGGGGTGCGATAGTGGGGAAATTGAGTTAGGCTGGTCCAATGCAACTCACCAGGTAAGAAATTAATCTGAACTAAACTTATTAATTTATTTCAAGTTAAGTTACATTGTTAATTAGTTATATAGCCGCTTCATTATGGAAAGAAGAAAATGGAACCCTAGCTAATTGAAATTCAACTGGGTTTTATATAATTTTTCAGTTTAACATTGAAAATGAAATGAGGAAGTGGTTCCCGGAGGACTTCTCTCGGCAATCTCCATTAAGAGAACTTCCGCTAGTAGTTGATCCAAACAAACCCTCATCATCTTCATCCTCCCTGAGATCACTATCCATGGATAGCCCAGAGATCTCTTCTCTTATATTCACTATTCCAAGCTCATCTCACATACCAGAAGCACATCGAGAGGCCCCCTCATTGCTGCCACCAATATTGCCAAGCACAAGCAGTCCACTCCAACATACATTGCAATTGTTGCAACCAGTACTGCCGACACCAACGGGTAATATTCTGCAACAAGTATTGCAGTCTTTGCAACAAAAACCTAGCCCACAACAGCTAGCAATTCAATCTTCGCAATCAACACCAAGCACAACTAGTCTACTTCAAGAAGCCATGCAACCTTTGCAAGCAATACAAAGCTGCACTAGCCCACACCAACAAGACATGCAACCTCTGCAAGCAATACAAAGCAGCACTAGCCCACACCAACAAGCCATGCAAGCGTTTGCCCTAGAACGAAACATTCAACTGCCAACTCCAGAGAGTGAAGATGCTGTAATGACAAGAGCCATCCTTGCAGTTTTAACTTTCCCTTCCCCTTCTTCCTCTTCCTCTTCACATAGTTTGCCTCATATGCACCGGGTATGCCAGGGAGCTAGCGCCTTCAAGAATTATCGATCGGCTCTAGCCCCTTCAACGCAAACAAGAGCCAGTTTACACAGACAAACTATGCTTAAACGAGTAGTTACATATTACAGACGCTTAAATATTGAAAGACGTGAACATATGCTCGGAGGCCGCCCGACAAGCACACAGTTGCACCATATGATATCAGAGAGGAAAAGGCGAGAAAAGATTAATGAAAGCTTTAAAGCATTGAGATCAATTCTTCCCCCAGAAGCCAAGGTAAATTTGTCCAGCCAGTTTTCATTGCTACAGCATACCAATAGCTAATGAATTCATTGAGATTTGATTTGCTTTCAGTTATAGTATTAGCTAGATATGCATGCGTTTAAAGCATGAACAACTACTGTAGAATCATGTGTTAGAATTTATTCAAGTCTATACATGTAAGTATATAGTTCTATATGAATTGATGATAACGGGTAGCAATTAATGTAGAATTAATTAATATTGCATGGATTTAAATTAACTACAGTTTCACCAATTAGATTTTGGATTGATTATATAGAAAGATAAAGCATCTATCCTTACTCGAACAAGGGAGTACTTGACATCTTTGAAGGCTCAAGTTGAGGAACTTAGTCGCCAAAACCAGAAGTTAGAAGCACAACTTTCAAAAGCTGCAGTTGCACAAGTAAGGGATTCATCAAACGAAAGACTTGATGTCCGGGTTACACACATATCTGAATCAACATCTGAACAACGGATTATAGACTTGGTAGTGAATCTAAGAGGAGAAAGCCCCATTTTGGACACGGTAATTACTAGGATATTGGAGTTCTTAAGACAATTCACGGATGTGAGCTTGATATCCATTGAAGCCAGCACACATACAGCAGAATCAGCTTCTTTTAATCGAGTGATTCTAAGGCTCAATATTGAGGTATGTATGTCTGTACTCCCCATGTTTAATTTTGACATGAACAAATCATTTAATCTCCTTACCAAAAAAAAAGAAAAAGAATTAATCTTTATTTTCTGAATCCGCTAATCACTTAATCCTTTCCTAGATTTTTTGTTACTGAGACGTAACGTAATTTTCCTTAGAAAAAAGGGTTTTCTACAGGATTCTATTGCCCTTACTTTTTTATTGGATATAGACCCCCACATGCTGTCTATGGCCATCAACTTCGGGGAATAAAACATTCATTAAATATCATTTTCCTTTTTGCTAAAGAAAATTCGAAAGTATAATAAAGTTAGAGTGATAATTATATTGATTCGTGGTGATTTGTTGATTATAGGGGATTGAATGGGACGAGTCTGGCTTCCAGGAAGCAGTCAGGAGGGTTGTTGAAGATCTTGCACGTTGACCGTTGGACCAATCCCTGAAACCTTATAGTGCCTGATGATGCGTAATCACCTCTTTTCCGCGACTATAACAGCTCCTTAATTTCCACCAACCAATATTTGAGATGACTTCAAGGTGTAGGTTTTGATTTTCTTCTTCAATTTTGGCTCCTGTGCGAGTGTTTTGTAGCACAATTTTGATGGCCAGTCAAATAGAAGCAGAGGCAACTTGCATGGTGTTTTGATGGGAAACAAAATTACAATTTCATTACATTTTATTTATTTATTTCTTGCTCATTTTATTTACTTGTGCCTTCTCTCCTTCCTGATCAAGACATATATGTTGTTGGCGAGGATGGATTTACAATTTAAAGACTTGCGCGCAAGTGCTTTTCTTTTTGGGAACCTCAGTTAAATGGGATGTTTCTGTCAGCATCCCTTAGTATTTTCCGACAGGCATCGAAGGGTCAATCGAGAAACTTCCACTAGAAATAAATAGCCATCTTTAAATTTAGAAGAGTTTGTCTTAATCATAAATCTGTCACAAATGCATTTGTGGTCACGAATCCTTCAGAAAAAAATTATGTTTTGGGATTAAATTGAGAATTAGGTAATAATTTAAAGGCTATTTTGAGATTATTATTATTTTACTACCATGATCGATGGATTCATTAAAAAACAGGATTTAAATGCAGAACGTCACCCTTTTGTTTTTGCAAAAATACTATTCAAACCCATGTAATTAGGGAACATTTTTTATGTTTTCAGGAAAAAAAGAACATTCCCAAGATTGTCCTCACCAAGGCTGCGTCGCTTCCGGTTTGTCTGATGCCACGTCATCACATTAGATTCGAAACAGTCTCCTCTTTTCGACCCCATGGATCCCCAAATGGAGCTAGCCTTGGAGACGGCGGTTTTGACCGGGCAATTTCTTATTTTTAAAAACCAAGGTTTAGCTTTTAAAATTAATTAAGACAAGCGAGGGCCAGGTAGGATATGCAGGTGTATATTGCCTTAATTTATTTTATTTTATTTCTCGTACTGTACTGAGAGGAACATAAAGAGCAGGGAAGGGCTGATGAGAGAACCGTCAAATCTCAATTTAAAAAGTTTTTTCATTCTTCGATTTTTTAAGTTAAGAATTTATTCTTACGAATGTATTTGATATAGTTTTAAAATCATTTGATTCAGTTGACATAAATTCATTGATAAAAAGATAATAATTATAAATCCACTTATTAAAATATTTTAAAAAATAATAGCCAAATAATTTTTAACAATACATTTATTTTTCACTGTGTCAAGATATATTTATTTATAGTAAATCATAGATCATCTAAAAAAACCTAGCTATCCAAGAAATCTTAACCATTCATGTGGTATTAATATTTTATAATACCATTTTATCGTACTGTCGAGACGCTGCCCTACGCCACTACTTTATTAATCATTCATGGCAATAAAACATGAAATAAGTTTCCAAGAGGCAAATGCTATTGTTTCCCTCCGCTTCACTCGATATAGTTACACTCCACTTCAAAATCTGTCTATAAACTACAAGTTACGTCTACTTCTGTTTCTTTCATAAATCAGAGACTTTATAGTTTTTCAGCAATGTTATATTATGAATGAGTTTTCAATTCTGGTATTTAACATCACATATCTTCAAAGTTACGTCTACTTCTGTTTCTTTCATAGATCAGAGACTTTATAGTTTTTCAGGAATGTTATATTATGAATGAGTTTTCAAGTATTTAATATCACATATCTTTATATGTTTTATTTTTTATGTAGTATCTCTTTCATTTTGTATTCATATTATGATTGCTAATGACACTTATATATCGTTAACAGGTATTAATTTTATTATCATACTTCATTTATTTTTTTTAATATCTATTTTATTATAAACCTCATATTAAATCTTGTTTTTATTAGTCAGATATATAATTCTAGTGATTATTTAGTTATCTTTTCCTCTTCTTTTTATTATATGCAAGATCTATAGTCTTAAAAGCTGATTGAAAAATATCATATGGAAAAGAGACTATTTATTTTAGATTAGTTAAAAATGTCAGTTATTATTGCTACTATTACTAATGTTGATTTGTCTTCTTTTCGTTTCAATCATTCTTTTTTAGTTTTTATTTATGACATTCTTATCTAGGTTATATTTTGTCTTTTTATTTAAGATTTTTGGTATCCATAGGAGCCTTAGAAAATTTACAAACTTGTGATATTTTTGTATTATAGTGGATATAAACTGACAAAATTTTCTATTTTACCTTTTAATCAAATTATTTCTATTTTTTTCTCCATTTGATTTAATTAATTCTGATGTGTAGGGACATTCACTAGTTGCCACAAAATAAGAGTCTCAATATTATGTTTATTTTATTGATGATTATACTCGTTATTGTTAGGTTTATTTAATAAAATATCATTTTGAATTCTTTGAGATATATATAGTCTTTTGAGCTCTTGTCAAAACACAATATTCTACTGTTATCAAATGTTTTAGGTATGATTTTGGTGGGGAATGCACCTTTAATAAATTTTATAAGTTGTTTGCTTTAGAAGGAACTATTTATCAAACCTCATGTATAGATACTACCTAGCAAAATAGCGTTGCTAAAAGAAAACATAGGCATATTATTGAAATTACTGCTCTCTTGTTGTTCGCTTCAGTTCTTAGTGTGTTTTGGGGCAAAATTGTTTTTACTACTATAGGTTTGATTAATATAATTTCATCTTTTTATATTTCAGGTTTATCTCCTTTTAAAAAATTATATGAGTATGCCCTTGATTATTCTTTCTTTAGAGTTTTTTGTTGTACTTGTTTCACTATTCATCCTCATATTGAACACAATAAGTTATCTTCTTGATCTACTATTTATGTATTTCTTATTTATATGAAGATAAATAGGGGTATTATTATTTTGATTCAATAACTCAAAAAATTTATGTGTTTTATCATGTTGTCTTCCTCAAGCATATACCTTTCTTTTCCATTCCATCCACTACTCATAGCTCGACTAGATCAGATCTTATTCAAATAAATCATTTTTATGAGGATTCAAATAGTTTATCATCTTATTTTTCTAGTACCTCAAATACCCCTCCTCATGTTTGACTAATTTGGATTGATCATTTTGCAGGTACTGACACGTTACTCTCCATCACGCCTGAAGCTCTGTTCTCTTTTATTGTCCCTCCAACTCCATCTAAGATTGTGGATCTACTTTACATCAATCTATACGCATTCTAAGTACACAAAGTTACCAAAAATTATTTATTCTTGTTATTCTTCATCATTTACTTCCTTTTTAGCTTCTGTTTATTGTATCTCTGAGCTTTCTTTCTATAAAGAGATAATTTTTTTACCCTTTTTACAGCAACCTATGAATACAAAATTTTATGTTTTGCATAAAACAAATACCTAGGATTTGTTTCCTTTACCACTTGGTAAGAGTGTTCTTGATTGTTATTTAATGTATAAGATCAAGACTAATTCTGATTGATCTATTGAGTGATATAAAATTATATTGGTTATCAAAAGATACTCTCAATGATATGGTATGGATAAAGAGGAGATATTTGCTCCTGTTGCAAAAATGACTACTAGTCATACTCTTATTATAGTAGTTTCGATTCTTCAGTGATATATCTCTCAACTTAATGTTAAAATTATCTTTTTGAATGGAGATCTTCAAGAAAAGTTTATATGATGCCTTCTCCTAATGTTTCACATGATTTTAAATATGTTTACAAGCTCAAGAAATTGTTATATGGTTCAAACAAGCACCTTATGCTTGGTTTGAGAAATTTTCTATTATGATATCTTCCTTTGGTTTTATTTCTAGTAGTCATAATTCTACTCTTTTTATTAAGTGCATTAATGTAAGCTGTATTATTCTATCTTTATATGTTGATAACATGATTATTACTAGTGATGATACTAATGGTATTTCAGTTTTGAAGACAAAGTTAGCTAGACAGTTTGAAATAAAGGATTTAAGTTCGCAATAATACTTTTTGGGTATTGAGGTAGTCTACTCACCTAGATGTTATCTTCTTTCTTAGTTAAAATATGTTTAAGATTTCTTGGGTGGGCTAAACTTACTGATAATAAGATTGTAGATACTTCCATTAAGGTTAATGCAAGATATTCTTCTTCTGATGGTTTCTTGTTGCCAAATCTTACTATATATTGTACTCTTATTTGGGAGCTTGGTATATCTCACTATTACTCATTCAGATATTGCATATGTTGTTTATGTTGTTAGTCAATTTGTTGCTTCTCCTACTTCTATTTATTGGGTAGTTGTTCTTCATATTTTGCAATATCTTTAGGGCACAATCTTTTAGATTTTGGAGTTTTTTACTCTCATTCACCTCTTTCTTGGAGCTGTATGCATACTCTGATGCTGATCATGATAGTGATCTTACAAATCGCAAGTATATTACTGGTTTCTAAATCATTTTGGATGATTCTTTTATTTATTGAAAGAACAAAAAATAATATATTATTTCTCAATCTTCAACCGAAGTAGAGTATTGTGTTATGACATCTACTACCAAAAAGATTGTTTGGTTACGTTAGTTACTTGTAGATATGAGAGTTTTTTTTTTCTCATCCTACTCTTATGTATTATGATAACTAGAGTTCTATTCAGACTACTCATAACTTGGTTTTTCATGAAAGAACTAAGCACATTGAGATCGATTGTCATATTACTCGTCATGATCTCAAACATGACATCCATTACTTTGCGTTTTATTTTTTCTTCTTTGCAAATTATATATTTCTATACCAAGTCACATTTTATTTCCTGCTTTCATTTTATAGTTGTCAAACTCTTGATGCTTGTAAGTCTTGTATCGTGAGTTTGAGGAGAGATGTTAAGAAATATAAAGTTATTTTGTTTTATTATTTATTAAGGATAGAATAGTCTTTTTAATTTTCTTTATTTTAACCAATATAGCCTCCTTGTATTTAGGTCAAGTTAAATTTTTTTTAGTAATTCATTATGTTGTACAGTATCAATAAAACTTTATCCTCCTCA